ACTGAAGCTTTCTCTACTTCTGTCGCTGTATTAAGACCTCAATATCAGAGATACATTTATTTCTAGTTAATGTACAATTGCATACAGAGCACTTTGTTTACATAGGTACTGGGGGAATGAAAACACGGTCCAGGGCCTCTCGAAGCGTTCACTCTGGGTCAAAGAGCTAAGGCGATTATAAAAATGGAGACACCGGAGTTTGTGGGAGGCTGCTGTGGGGCTGGTACGGGAACTCATGTATTCATGAGTGCCGCTCGAGTATATCCATCTCCCCTCTGTTAAAGGCCTTTCGACCTAACAGACTAATGCTGAGACCTTTAAGGGAAGGTGACTGTGTGCAGGAATGCCATCAGGAAAGCCAGGCTGAGATGCAACTGCCGGGCAGCTCACTCCCTTTACAAGGGGCTGAGTCCACACGCCAGCGGGTCAACCTGTAGTCGGTGGGAGGAGATTCTTAGACCTAAATGCTCATATGGGAAATAACGGCTGAAAATCAATGAGCAATTATTAAAAGAATAGCAAACTAAGTAGGAGGAAAGAGTATCATATATAGTTATCCAGAAAGTTGGGAAACAACTGACTTAAACAGTATGTTAGTTCTATTTCAAGAAATATGCTCAATGCATTTTCACATAAAGTACCTCAAAATTAAGACAATGGGTTCAATTGTGAATCTAAAAAAAGTACAGTAAATATGTTATTTCCCATGTTTCCAGACTTTCTAGATCCTCTACAGTTGACTTGTCTAATACAGTTGTCATGAGGCACACGTGGCTAGTTAAAGTAATTGTTGGAGAGTGAAGAGATGGAACATTATCCTCGTAGCGGAAAGTTCTATTGACAGCGCTGCTTTATGATGTGTGCTTCTTTTTTCCACATTACTAGTTGGACTCAATAAATTTAGAGGTACTTTACCTGAAAAGGTGTTTGGAAATTGGACAAAAGCACTCTGAGCATATAATTTGAAAATATAATACACTGTTGAAAAATAAGTTTATCCCAGGTTTCCCAACTTTTTGAACACTCTCTAAATACATAATTAACTTTTTAAAGGCTGATTTTTATCTTCATCAAACTATACACAAGAATAAGGAATTAAATTATTCAGTAAGATACAGAAATATTCATTTGGGGGCCGGCCCGGTGGCGCAGTGGTTAAGTTTGCACGTTCCACTGTGGTGGCCCGGGGTTCGCCGGTTCAGATCCCGGGTGTGGACACGGCACCACTTGGCAGGCCATGTTGTGGCAGGCCTCCCACATATAAAGTAGAGGAAGATGGGCACAGATGTTAGCTGAGGGCCAGTCTTCCTCAGCAAAAAGAGGAGGATTGGCAGCAGTTAGCTCAGAGCTAATCTTCCTCAAAAAAAAAAAAAAGAAATATTAATTTGTTTGCCCCCGTCACCCCATCTCCCACGTCTTAGAAGCACTCTCCCCCTTTCCATGGTGTAACGTGTGTCTCCCTGTCTCTAAGGGAGATGCTCACACTGCTGCTGCTTATGTTTTCAGGCTGGGCATCTACCTACTCACTTTCCACTAAGGGAAGATGAGCATTTCTTTTCCAAATGCTTCCTACCGCTGCCCCTGCACACTTCCCATCTCCTCATCCTCCCAACAGATCTATTTCGTTTTATAAAAATTCAGTGCTGTAATTATGACCATGTAAATGATAGTCACAGCTGAGCTATACAGAACATTATTTGTCTTATTTGTCTGTGCACAAGTACAAAAGCTTGATGAATTTTCACAAAGCGAGCACACGATGCAACCAGCCCCCAACTCTAGAAACAGCACAGTAAGACAGAAGCACCCAACCGCCTTCATGATCCTCCCGTCATCTCTGTCCTCAGGAACCATTCAGACCTTTTTTTGCTATAGTTTTGCCTGTTCTTAAAATTTATACAGAATCACACAGTATGTACTCTTTCTTGTCTGGTTTCTTCTGCTGTTCTTTTTCCAGCTTGAGATCAAAGCTTACATTATTGATCTTACCTAATAAATGTATTTAAAGCTATAAATCTTTTGAGGGAAGCATTAGCTGCATCCCTTTAATTTTTACATGTTGCATGTTGTTCACTTCAACATAGCTTTCCATTGTGATATTTTTGCATTTTTAAAAATATTAATTTTTCTCCATGGTGTTGTGATCAACGTGTTCTTCATACCAATCCTTGGAAATCTGTTGAGACGTCTTCTGTGTCCTGGACAATAGCTGCAGTGGAGGTCACCACCTGATTAGTTTATGATAATGCAGTCACTCTACAAGATCCATCAAATTTCTGTCTGGTCTGAACAGATATGCTGGGTGGCTTGACCCTGAATCTTTCAGGATTTTTGACGATGGCTCGCTGCAATTTCCTGAGATGTGGCATTGATTTGGTTTACTGTTCTGGCTTCTACTTAGCCCTCATTATGATCAGGGAACCAAAGTGGGGATTCTGTCAGATGTCAAGTATGTCTAGTCTCAATACACGCAGGAACAGGGGAAATTAGCACAGGGGAGGTCCACGGACGAACTGAGCTGCCTGGACACAAGCCGGGGCTCAGACTCCATGTATGACCTGACCCAGAAGGAAGTCAACTGTCAAAGAAACGTCGAGTCACAGCCACATCACAAAGAGTACAGAAGGTGACTTTGCAATGACAGGCAATAGGCACATGGCAGCACATTCACAGCCTTCGTCAGATCTAAGTTCATCAATTCTGTGTCTGAACTGTACTAAACCCTTCCATTGAGATTTTAATTTCAATTATTTTTTCATCACCATAAATTCTATTTTGACAATTCTTAAATCTGCCCAATTTTTACAGAACCTTGTTATTTTACCGTTTCTGACTCTCTTTTATTTCTTTACACATATGCAACAGTCATTTCAGATTCTGTATCTGATAATCCCTACATCTGTTATCTTCCTAGGGCTTATTCTATTTTTCTTTTACTCTTGCTTACAATCGCATCTCTTTTTACTGCGTGGACTTATCTTCCAGCTCCGTCTCTGAAGGTCAGATTGGATCTCCTCTATCAGCCTCACATCCATTTTCCAGGTAAGAGGGAAGAGGAACAGACTGGCACTTTCACGAGGAAAGCGAAACCATCCTCATAAATGCCAAGTGGAATTTGCTTCCATGTCCCTGGTCAGAACCGTGTCACATGCCAGCCCTGACTGCAGGCTTTTAGGCCTTCATGGCTGAGAGCGCTGGAGATGAAGGCTGAAAGAGCAACTGTGCGTTCCTGCTTACAGCAGAGCCAGGCCAGAGTGCCAGGTCACTGCCATGGGGTTGGTGGCACAAGTCATGAAGGTTACAGAGCCCTGTTAGGAGCAGGAGTCATGGAAGGGAACTCAGACCCACTTATACTCCTTTGGCTCTTGTAACTCCCAAATGGCATGAGGACCCTCACTCTCAGAGAGTGGACTTTTGAGAGTACTGTCGTCTGTGAATGCTCTCCAAATAAACCTGTCGCTGTGCCACAGGCATAAAAAACAGGGCCCCTTACAGGCAAGGCCTTTGGCTGCAGACCCACCACTGCACGCCAGGTTGTCCCTACAGCTGCCGCCTGTGACCTGCTAGTCAGGCCTCTAACACACCTGAAGGGAAGCATCAGCCAACAAATTAGGATCTTATACAGACAAGGCGAAGATTCCAGCTGACCCAGGGAGACAGGAAACATCGCTTAGTCAAGATTGATTTCAAGGCCTAAAAGCAGTCAGACTAATCAAAAATGGTACTATTACAATTTCTTATAATGCATAAATACTAAATATAAACTTCAAAAAATGTAGGAGTGAATACTTCTAAACCGCATACTATACAATTTTCAAGCAATGGCTATTTAACAAAATGTAAGGTGGCAACATCACAGAACTTTCACACACTTAATGAGGACACAATTAGCAGCAGGCTATTCGAACAAGTACACATCTGCTTCTACACTTTCCATGCTTGTCTTTACCTTTGCATCTTAAAGCCACTGATAATACGCTTCTTTCAAGTATGAGATTTCTAACATTAAATTACATTTTCTAAGTGTTTTTATAAAGGAGAAATGAAAAAGACATATGCTACATTGTTTGTCATAAATTCATACACCAAACACTAAAACACAATCCACCTGAATGTATCCATGCTTCCCTGTCTCTCACATGAGCTGTAGATGTTTTTCTAAGTAATCTATAAATATTTTTGCTAAAATCTCTTCTCTAAGTCATTCATGCAGATTAGGAAAAATGATTTATAATGAGTTATCTTTTAAAATTTCCTTCTATATATTTCTATATATTTCTCTCCCCAACCCCCCACCAAATCTGGTGCTAAAGTAAACAATAATGCAGTGTGCAATGGGGCCCAGACAGTCTGCAATTCTTGTTTCCAAAATATCTAAAGACTTCATCTTTCTGCCAATATAAACAAAAGTCTCAAGCGGCCAAAAATCACTTCTTAGTAGTTTGTAAGAAGAAATAATGCATCATATAAAGATTATTTAACTAAAACGTTATTATTTATGTCCTTCCCCCAAGCTGCAAGCACTCTTTAGCATTAAATTACATTGTGCCTATACAACTACAACAGTTTATAGTTGCTCAGGAACATATGATGACGTTAAAAATAAATAACTATTTCACAGTTTAATTGGCTCTTAAGTAGTCTCCCCAGGGGGAGAACAGGTATTTTGTGTTCTCTAAGAAATTGGTATATATGAATGAACTGCTATGTGTTTATTTAAAATTTGAGGAAACGTAAAGATGAAGTTTTTGGGTTTTTTTCTAAAATGCAATACAGATTTGCAGTTAATCACTGTCCATATAGTGAAGGGATGGAATGATAGGCACAGATGGAGTCTTCTGTAAGTGAACAGGTGTAGGATAATCTAAATGGGAAAAAAACTGAGACTGACAATTGTTTAAAGGAAAAAAGAACCAAAGTCAAGAAAAATGTTAAAGTAGAATGTCTACTCTTAGAAAGACGAGAGAAGTGTTATACAACACAAAAATGAGACCTAGAGATTCAGAAAAGACTCATTTTACTGCTTTCAAACACAGATGAAAAATGATAAGCAGAGGGAGTGTAGACCAATTAGTCCAAGGCAGCTGTAACAAAAATGGAACGCAGTACAATGATCTGACCTCATTAAGGAAATGACTGATTACAGTGAAATTTCACAAGTCTTCATGTCTAATAATACATTAATGTACAAAATATCACAAATACAAAGTCTTGATTTTCCCCCTGAGGTTTGTCATAAACTATCAAACCCCCGTTTAATCCACTGACTTTTACCACCTTCTCTGTTGAGCGGCACACGCTATACAAGTACAGACATGCGAGTATTTTACCACGAGAGCTGTCCTTCTCATCTCCAACTAGGGACTTCCCTTTTTACTCACACTTATATACATTTCATCTCCATTATAAGACACTTAAGACCTTTCCAGTGGTAGATTTTAATCTATATATTACATTAAAAAGAATCTTCATTTCTAAAATGAATCTTTTTAGTACTGTAGCATGATGGGTTTAACTGAACAGCTGAAGCGTAACTACACTGTACTGTTTAAACTAATTCACAGCTGTAGGAAAAGGTTTGATTTTTAAAATATAACAGAGATGAGATCGCACAGTTATGAGTGGTAGAATACTAGAAAACAGTGAATGAATAAATAAGATAATTTTTCATCAGTGGCCATTCATTATTTTGCTTTTAGGAACCTGGAAGAAACTGTCTTCTTTGAGTTTCAAGTGTTCTGGTAAATCGAGTCGTTTCTTAGCTTCCTCAATATCACCGTGAATGGCTGAAATAAGTGACTCTGCAGAGAGAACACACCAGGACAAGATGATCAGAAACTGCCGCTGGACTTTCCACCACTCCCGTGCGCAGCCTCCTGCAGACTCCTAGGCTGGCAGCATCTCTAGCATGGGGTAGATGCCCTGTAAATGCCTGTCCCATCCCTTCTTCCAGACTCAAGTAGAAGTCAATGGTACACAAAAGAGTGCCTTAATCTTCTTGCAATTTCTTAGAGAAAGGCATCAGCAAAAAGGTACATTGAAAATACCTGATGGAAGAAACATATATTCAGTATCAATTCTCTTCAGTATTTACACCTGTGAAAGAAACTCTACAACAGAATTAACACTATCACACTACACTAAGATACTCGATACCATTCACTTCAAATGTTCTGATTTACTGTTTCTTACACGTCAAGCATTGCAAAGCACCCATTAGTCATCACAGTATTAATTCTTACTTGTTCTTTAAAACATGAAAAGGAAATAAACATGTCATTAACTTCATACTGTTGGAGAGAGGCAGCCAGCCTGCTGGGTTTGAATCCAGGCTCCATCACTTACTATGTGACCCTGGGCAAACTACTTAACTTCTCTGTGCCAACTTCCTCTATTGTGAAATGGTCAGAATAATTCCTCATACGGTGGTTGCGAGGATGAAATGAGTTAATTCACGTAAGGCACTTAAAACTGTGCCTGGCACATATCAAGTGTGCAAATATTATCTGTCCTGCCATGGTTACTACTAGTAGAAGCAGTAGAAGGAGCTGCGCTAATATTTAGAAGATCTAAATAAGACCTTACCTAAAGAATCGAAGTTCCTTTCTGGTCTGAGGTAGCCAACGATGGCCACGTTGAGGATTTCCCCATAGAAGTCCTCTTTGAAGGTATGCATGATATGAGTTTCCTACAGTCAAGAAATGTGAAAAAGATTACCATCAGATTACAGAGTACTGAAATTTGAAATGCATCTTCATGTTTATGGTGGGGTAATCTAAATGAAACAATCAACGCTCATTAAATTTTTACAGACAGGTTAAAATCTAAGGGCAGTTTTTCCTGAATTCTTCCATCGCTCCTGTTCCTGCCCCTGAATTTACATGTAAACATTATAACTGAGTAAGGCAGATGTTATACCACAAATCTGATACGATTTGACGTTTATAGAAAAAGCTGACATGCATCGAAGTAATTAAGAGTCTTATCAAGGTGAAAAAACTAGGCAAAGACATCAAAGAGGGAACGAGCAAAGTATTAAGAGAAGTTACTACTGAAAGAACTAGTTCTGAGGTGAATCAGGACCCATGTCTCTGACACACACCACGTTACAGAAACCTGAGGGTCAGGCAGAGCTGGAGGCTGACGTGGGGGCAGAAGAGTCACCGCAGGTTCCTGACACGGGGATGACGTGACAAACGGGCAGAGGATGCACTGAAGCAAAACGGTGCAGGAGGGAGGAGTGCTCTGGGCTCTGAATTTTCGTAGACTCCTATAAAGGACAAACCTGAGTCCAAAAGGCAGAAAATCAATGAAGAAAGCAAACAAATACAGAAGATGTTGAGGCTGGACTAGGATGTGGCCCTGGAAATGGAGACGTTTAGACAATTTAGAAACATGTACCCTGAGACCAGAAGTATATTCTCATGTGTGACTTAGAAAATTGAATCTAGGAAGTGATCCTTAAACCTGAAGCGTCTATTACAAATCAGCTAAGAGTGCAGCTAGACCGTTCAGAGTAATAAAACCAATACAGAGATAATAGGAGCAACTTACACCTAATGAGAAATCAAATATGAAAATCTGCATTCAGTAATTGTTTATTCTTTCTTACCTAACATAGCAAGTTCCCCATGTACACTTGAAATGATTCAGACCAAAAAAGGGAAGGAAATATCACACAAGACTTTAAGATTAAGGTGAGTTTTATTGTCTGTCTTAAAAAAAAATAAAATAACCTAGTCTCTCATAACCTTTTTGATTTGTTGGGGGAGGGTTATGATCCTCTGAGGTCATTAAAATGGGCTCTCTCAAGTGTCCCTATGTAGAACTTTGCATATAACTTAATGGGATTTATGGGTTTAATGAAGCCCATTGAAAAAAAAGAACCCTGATTTAAACAACTTAAAAGAAGAAAATATGGATATTAGAAACAGGACTTTTCTTTATAGTATGGCTCTTATTAGAGCTTCAGCTTGGTTAGATTACTAAATCTAAAATTGCATATAGAAGAGTGGAAGTTATATACTAGGCTAAACTGAAAGCATCTAAGAGAAGCAGGACAGCACTGCAGTAAGAGCTGAGCTAAGAATCAAGTCTGGGTCCACACTTGGCTAACGGCACACCTGCCCTCGCTGGGGCTCAGTTTTCTCAGCTGTTACTGAGGGGTTTCAGTCAGAAGACACAAGGTGCCCCATGGCTTTGTACTACAAACCAATATATTTAACTTGCATTCTTTCTTTTCAGTAAAATTTTGAATAGTAAAAAGGACACTAAGATATGTAAGACCTCGACACTGATCATTACAAACATTATTGAGAGAAAAGATATGATGTCTACCCTCCCTAAACTGATCCACAGATTCAATGCTATCCCAATCAAAATCTTAGCAGGTTTATTTTTTTTTTGTGATGAAAACTGACAAGTGATTCTAAAATTCGTGTGGAAATGTGAAAGGCCAAAATCATCCAAGAAAATCTTGAAAACAAAATTGGAAGACTTACACAATCATATGTCAAGACTATTAAAGCTATGAAAAGTATGACAGTGTGGTATTGGCCCGAGGATACACGAGGAGACTGAGTATGTATGAGTGTATTTTGGACTCACACATATAGTCACTTGATTTATGACCAAGGTGACGTGGCAGTGCTGTCAGGAAAGGACCATATTTTCAGTAAATGGGCTGGGTCAATATCCATATGGAAAAAAAAATTAACTTTTATCCCTACCTCACACCATGCTCCAAAATCAATTCGATATGAAAAAATAAGACAATTAAGCTGTTAGAAGAAAACACAGATGAATATCTTCATGACTCTGGAGTAGGCGAAGATTTCTTAAATAGAATATAAAAAGCACTAACTATAAAAGAAAAATGATGAATTTGATTATATTAAAATTAAGAACCTCTTTTCTTCAAAAGACACCATTCCATTAAGTGAATAATAATGAAAAAAAAGCAACAGAGTGGGAAAAGATATTTGCAATACATAATTCCAACAAAGGAATTAGATCTAGAATATATTAAGAACTTCTTCAAGGCAGTAAGACAGCCAATCCAATTTTTAAAAAAGTCTTTAACAGGCATATGATAGATGTCGGTTATTGGCGAAGAAAAGAAAAAAGAAAAACTCTGAAAAGTATGGACCTCCTACCAATGGAAAACTGAGTTTCTCCTAACCATGAAAGGACTTCCAAGGGATTCCACGAATAGATTTATAGTAACAGTTCTGTTATCTGAGTAGCTAATATGGAAAAATTAGTCATGGGCCAGTGGCCTCCCCTCCCCTTCATTTCTTCCCTCATTCTATGGAAAAATATTTTGTGTTCCTTCAATTCTTTTCCTTTTCTACTCCAACAAATAATGTTCACATCCTTAATACTCAAAAGTAAGAGAAATAGAGCACAACGTTAAGTTGTCTGGGCCATTTCTATTGCTTATACAGCACTCAGCTGTGTGGTTTTCCAACTGTGACACACTTCTCTTCTATAAACTCTTCAAAGAGGATGAAATTTAGATCAACTATAACTGTTTTTGCCACACACTTGAGCTGATCAAAAGATTCAGCTATATCTAGCAGAATAAGCCCTTAAGCTGTGTGGGTCCTGTGAAAAGGGCAGAAAAGCATACCCTCAAAGTGGTTTAAAAGAGAAAAAAAAGCATCACCTTGCAATTTTATCAGAAAGCACTATCCAAGCAAGCAGTTCTACTGTAACAGGGTGACCAAGTAACTGAAGAGTGAATCAACTACATGAACTGTGGCAAGCTCAATTTTATGAAACATGATCTTAAATACTTTATTTTTATCTCCAGTAAAAGTAAATACATGAGCAGTTATAAAAATTACTATTATTATAATTTTGGTTTGTAATTCCACTTTTTATTTTCTACACAATTTGAAATATAAATGCATAAAAATTATTAGTCTATGTTATTGGGTACACAATGTATAAAGACGTAATTTGTGAATTTTTGTAAACTATTAAAGTTAAGTCGGTGTAAATTCAAATTAGATTTTTACAACTTTAGGATGTTAAATATAATCCCCATCCTAACCACAAAGAAAATATCTATAGAAAATATACAAGAGGAATTGAGAAGGGGATCAAAATGTGTCAATACGAAAAAAATTAACTAAATGCCAAAGTCAGTAATGGAGGAAATGACAAAAAAGCTGTAAGGCATATAGAAAACAAACAGCAAAATAGCAGAAGTCCGGCTTTACCAGTAATTAGTTTAAATGTAAATAGATTAAACTGTCCAATGAAAAAGCAGAGATTAACAGAATGGATTTAAAAAATCCATTATCCAACTATACCCCTTTTATAAGACACTCACTTTAGATCCAAAGAGACATATGGATTGAAAGTGAAAGGATGGAAAAAGTTATTCCATTCAAAGAGTAACTAAGTACTTCACTTTTAAATCCTTCAAGTACACTGCCAGAAATTCTAGTATTCAGGTATGTTGTCATTACCACTGGAGAGTTCTAGTGCATCTAATACTGCAGATTACCCTAAATCATCATCCTATTTTCAGTTACAGAGCTCAATACAAGTCTTACCATGGACTTCTTCGTATTCTTGTAGTATGGGTTCCATCCTATGCTCACCATCATCCTATGGACATCTCCACTTCCCACACTGGCCCAACCATAATAAATGCCAGTGGAGAGATCAGCTGGAAGATTATCTACTACTTGTTCAGGGAAGTTAGCTAAACAACAAAAGTAAATATTCTGAGTGTTAAGAGTTTCATATAAAATATTTCTAAAAATCACAAGCAAGGGTAGTCTAAATCATTACAATCACAAGATTCCTAGGATCTTTCCTATGATTATCAACCCCATCACTCCATATTCTGGCTCGGACTTCTTTCTCCTCTGCATGTGGTCAGGCTAAGAACAAGGTACCAGATCACAGTAAATGCGGAAACCTCTCCCAAAAAAGCATACACTCTCGAGTAGAAGAAGAAAACAGGTAGCTAAGCTGGGTTTTTCAGACCTAGTCTTTCTTAAGGAGGTTCGGAAGCTCTTGAAAAGATTCTTATTTTCGAAATACACATGCCTAGGCCCCAAGCTCAAAGCCTAGGGGCAGCCCTGGGGTGTATTTTTAACGATGAATTATGCATACCGTCAGGTCCTGACTATTAAAACGAATGTAGACAAAACAAAAAAGATATGTGGTTCTCATTCGACTGCTAGCAACAGATTTAAAGAAAAGAAAACCTTACAGTCGGCTTGAGAATTTGGCCAACGGCCCACATTACGTTTTCTAATGGACAAAGCGCGTGCCAGGCTTGGCAGGCCCATCATGGCTGGATAGGGAGGCGGGGAAAGGGGACCCCGAAGCTCAGCTTGGGCTTCCGCCCTCATCACCCCTCAAGCCCGGTCCCTGATGGGCTCGGAGCCACCGGCACGCATGAGCTCCCTCAGCCCGATCGAAGGTCCTCCGCCTCATTATCGGGAACCAGGAGGAGGGGAGGGGTCATCCTGTGCATAGCCACAAGATCTGGCCCCGAGCCCCCGCTGACGTCCCCGCTCCCACGTGACCCGGCCCGGGGTGGGGGACCTCCGCGCCCCCTGCGCTCACCCGTGGGGATGCCCAGCTCCTTGGCGCCGCGCCCGAAGCCCCGCACCACCTCGCCGCGGCAGAAGTACGGCAGGTGCCTCATGACCCCGTCCGCCCCGGGCGCTGGGGGCCCGGTCCGCGCATCCTGCGGGGCCGCCGTTGAGGAGGTGCCCGCACCCCCCGGACCAGCCGGGGGACACGGGCGGGAGCTCGGGCTGCCGGGCGGGAAGATGTACAATGGGCCAGGCGGCGCCGACGACACGCCCCGGCGAGTCTGTCCTGCTGCTGACCGAACAGAAGCCACCGAGCGGTTCAGAGGCTGCGTCTGTGCCCGGGAGCGGCGACGCGGTGGAAGTCAGCGCGGCTGTGGGCGGAGCTCGGCTGGGAGGCCCGAGTGTTGTACAAGTTTTGTTTCCTTGTCTTGTCCCAATTGCATTAGCTACTACTTTCAATACAACGTTGTAAAGGAAGGATGGGAGGGGACACCTTGCCTTGTTTCTCATTTTAGTGGGAAAACGTCTAATTTGTCATCATTAAGTATGATGTTAGACGTAGGTCTTTTGTAGATGTTCTTTATCCAGTGGAAGAAATTCCCCTGTTCCTAGTTTGCTGAGAGTTTTTATTATGCCTGGGTATTGAATTCTGTGAAATGCTTTTTCTGCATCTATTGATACAATCATTTGATTATTCTTAGCTTGTTGATGTAATGGATTCCATAAATTGATTTTCGAATGTTGAACCAGCTTTGCATACTGGGCATAAGTCCCACTTACTCATGGTGTACAATTTTTTTTAATACATCGATGGGTTCAATAATGTTTTGTTGAGAACTTTTTAAATCTACGTTCATGAGAGATACTGGTCTGTAGTTTTCTTATAATGTCTTTGTCTGGTTTGGTATTAGGGTAATATTGGCCTCATAGAATGAGTTAGGAAGAACTCCCTCTGTTTTATCTTATGAAAGAGATTTTAGCGAATTGGTATAATTTCTTCTTTAAATGTTTGGTAGAATTTACCAGTGGCCCATCTGGGCTTTGTGCTTTCTGTTTGAAAAGTTATTAATTATTGATTCAATTTCTTTAGTAGACATAAGCCTATTCAGATTGTCTGTTTTTTCTTAAGTGAGTTTTGTCAGATTGTGGCTTTCAAGGAATTGGTCAATGTCATCTGTTATCAAATTCGTGGACACAGAATTGTTCATGGTATTGCTTTATTATCCTTTTAATGTCCTTGCGATCTGTAGTGATTTCCCTTCTTTCGTTTCTGATATTAGTAGGTTAGGTCCTCTCTTTTTTTGGTAGGAAAAAAACCCCTACATAGTCGTCTCTAAACTTTACATGATATAGGGAACCTTGGCATTACATATTTTTCTTTTTTGGTATAAATATATTTTCATTTTTAAAATCAGAAAAGGCAGCACTTCTCGCGCTTCCTGCCTCCTAGGAAGGGGACACACAATTTTGACAAGGACCCCACTCGCGCGCCCAGCCCTTAGCGGTTCGGGGAACGAAGAACCCGGGCGAGCCTGAGGGAGCGCACGGACGCCAGCGCTCCACGCGGTCCGCGGCACCGCCCAGAGGGCCCGCTGACCTCGGCCCGCAGCCTTGCGCCGGGGTCGCCCGGTGGATGCGGGCGAGGCGGGGATGCGGGGGGCGGGCCCTGGAGGGGCGGGCCCAGGGGCGTGGCGCGCGGGCGGGCGGCCCCAGGCCCAGAGGCTCGGTCTCCGAGCGCGGCGAGCGCGGCACAGCGCAGCTCCCGGCCCTCGCGCGGCGGTTGTGGGGCGGCCTGGCGCGGCTCCCTCCTGCGCCCCAGGGCCGGACGCCCGCTGCAGGTAACCAGCTCCCCACGGCCCCCTGCTCGGCCGCCCGCCGGCCGGGGAGGGATGGGCGGGAGGACCGAGGGAGCCGGCTCCCTCCCGGGGCCCCTCTGCCCGAGCGGGGTGGGATCCGCCGGGGAAGAGGCCGCGCAGCCGGGGCAGGAGAGAGAGGACGCGCGGTGGGGATCCGCGGCGAGCGCGTGCGCCCGGGGCCGGGGATGGCGCAGGGCGCCCTCCCTAGACTCCGCTCTTCCCTCGGACCAGTGGAGTGAGGGGCCAGGTCTCTGGTGCCCAGTGTCACCTGGGAGCCACTTCTTCTGGCCTCTTTTCCCCTGGTCCGCGTAGCGAGTAGGAGCTTAGAAATCGGAGGAGTTGCTGCGGGCGTGGGTAGGCGCAGAGCGATCAGTCGCTCACTGCCGTCTCTTGGGTGCCAGTGGCTTTAACTTCGTTTAATCCCAGCCATCGCCCTGCGAGGAGGCATTATTATCCCCGTTTTATTGATAAAGAAGCCGACGCCAGGAGGATAAGTGACTCGCCCTGGGGCAAACCACTGGACAGGAGACGCCAGTCCGGGGGCCCGAAGCCCTCGCGCTTCCCCCTGGCTCCCGGCTCCCCCATCCTTCACGCGCGCGTCTGGGAAACTCGCGCGGCGGAGTGGAACCAGGTGATCGTTCCAACACGCGTTGCCCTCCCCTCCTAGGTTTCTTTTTTGTTTTCTTGTTTTGTTTTGTTAGCACCCACTTTCTGATTCAGACTCTTCCAATTTTGGGTTATCAGCCTTTCGAAGTGGAAGCGGCTCTGGCTCGCAGCTTCTCCCCTGGCGGCGCTTTCTCTCTGCGCAGCGCAGACACGGGCGCCCTCGCCTGCCCCGCGCTCCTCGTCGTTCGCGGTGGATGAGGTCGCCTGCAGATCCGGCCGCGCCCGGGCACTGCCCAGGTGGAGGTAAGCTTTGTACTCACCTGGCAGCCTTCGCACCCTTGCTTGCTTGCTTTCTGGAAGGAAGAGAGCCTTCACTGTACAAACAGTAAGACAAGAGGCGAATGGGAGGATGTACGGTGTTCAGAGAGAGCGGTGGTGCCATGAGGTGAGAACGGCCACAGCTTTTTGCGGCCTGAATTGGGCGCGCGGTAGGTGAGGCCCGCGGGCGGGGCTCGTCCCCTCCTCTGGGTATTCTGCCCCCTGTCGAGCTGTTCCGAGAGGCAGGTTGGTTTTATAGAGGGAGGAGGAGGGGGAATGGTTCTTAAAGATCAGTGTAAATTCCCTGATCGGAGCCCAGGCGGTTCCGGACAAGCCCCCGCCAGAGCCTTTGGTCACAGATTTCAGGTCTGGAAGAAGGACAACTCCAGCCCTGTGGGTATCTGCTTTGCTCGATGGAGTTTTTGCAGGCCTTCAAGATGGTACTTTGGGAAACTGAGTACTTAGAAATGGCTAACGCGTCTATTTTTAAAAACAGTGTAGCATACCGTGAATTTACTTTTATGAAATTTTATTGATACATGGAAAAAGTTGATGTTTTTTTCTGCTTCACGGTGAGAGTTGGAAGGTTGCCTGTCGGCTCCTCGGCCCCTTCTTCAGCCTGACCCTGGAGAGGACCTGCTTAGGGTGGGCCCCGAGTGTGTGCTGGAGCCCACCCTTCATTAATTATAGTTCATCCTTGATTAGTTATAGGACTACTTCCAGTCTTTTCCGTTTGTAATTTAGTTGCTTAACACTAAGAAAAATGTTTTCCCTGAAAACTATCAACTGTCCACAAAGTCTGCTATCTACAGGACTGAAGGTACCACGGGGGGAAGTTAGTGGGCCTGGGTTGGTGCTAGGTGACCTGCAGAGCGCCTGCTGAAATCTGGGTGGGTGTCGGCCATTCCCTCCCCATAACCATGCAGGAATTTGGGCCCAGTGTGACCAGAGCTTCTTTTTTTCCCCCCAAATAGCTGAAACATCTTAATTTTTTTTTAGAAAATATAAAACTTGATTTTAAATATTGGCTCTTTTTTAAAACACAAGGAATGAAGTGAAATTTGCTTCATGCAGGATCCATTTTCAAATCTCTGTCTTAGAAACTGCTGTACCTGGTAATTACATCCTCAGGTGAATGAAAAATTCTCACCTATGATGTAGATATTGTACATTTTTGCTGAAATGAGATGGTAGGAAACAAGTTACTACTATTGAAAATGATCTCTTCTGATTCTCAATTTCTGTTTTCTGTGAAGTGTACATTATTTCAGGAGCATTGAGTAAAGGAGTCTTTCATGGGCCAACCAAGGAATCGTGTCACTATTTTTAATATTCATGCTAAGGAGAAACGTGTTCATGGTTCCAGCTGGGGACGTCAGGTGCCTGACTCCCTGCCTTCAGAAGGGAGCTCCCCATGACTGTTGCTCTGAATCAGGTGTTTCTCCTGAGGCCTGTCCGTGTTCTTCACCACGTTGGCTTTGACATGGGAGCATGGCTTAGGGATGTCCTGTTTCCTTGTTGCCTGTCTGTGGCCAATGCCATGTGTGTTTAGATGAGAGGTTCTCAACTTTGGCACTGTGGACATCTTTGGCCAGATCATCTTTTGTTGTGGGGATTGTCCCGTGCGTTGTAAGATGGGCAGCAGCATCCCTGGCTCTACCCACCAGATGCCAGTGGTCCCCGCCCTCCAGTTACAACAACCTAAAATGTCTCCAGCATTGCCACCTGTCCCCTGGGGACAAACTCACCCAGCTGAGAAAAAGATGAGCCAACATTTAAAATGTTCTAGATATTTATGAACTAAATGATAAACTAAGCACAATTCACTTTAAACTTTTAGTGACTACAGAAGATATTTGTAAAGTTTAAACAAACATCTGGTGTTTTAAAATATTTTTATAATAAAGATGACTACACCAATGTTCTTCATGAATGGCGCATGTGTCCTGCCAGGTTTTATCTCCAAAGAAATTTCAAGTGTTTGATGCAGTTGTTAAATTTCTAAAGTTTAAAATGTTGGAAGCTAACAAGGAATTCTACAGTAGTTTTCCTTTTTCTCCTTTTAGTATACTCGATGTCTTTCAGTTTTTTTAAGGTGATGGAGTATCAATGGACCATGCTCGTTGATTTGGGAAAATCGACACAATCCCTAATATTAGAACCCCCAAAGAAAAACATTGAAGCCAAAGTTTTAATAGCAAGACCCAGTGTAAATCATGTTCAGACTAGAATTCAGTGTTAGGAAAATCTAAAAGCTTTTTAGCTGGCAGCAATAACTTAAGACAACCATCTATTTCTGTAGTCTGAGAAATCCTAATTTTATGAACGAGAGCCCTACATAATATGTGATCTTAGAAGAAAAAAATGTCTTGAAAACATAACCCTCTTTTTTTAGATCTTTAGCTTGGGACGTTGAAAACGCAGCCCTAGTTATAAAAGAGGCATCCTTATCTAGGGATTGGCTGTCCACTGGGCTCTTTCCAGAAATCAAGCTCATTTGTAAGACTCTGGACTGCTTCACAATTTGTGGGGCCCCTTGTTTAATAATTATTCAGGATTTCAAGATTCAGGCAGGGCACATGCAGCACAGCACCAGCCCCGGGCGGCTGCACGGGCTGTGCACCCAGGGAGCTGCCCCCATAAAACTCTTTCTCCACGGCTCAGAAGAAGATTGCGATCGCAAATGCAAACCCAAAGAAGGAAACGTTTCTGCTGCCACGAAGCACCAGAGTTTCTGATTCATTGATTATGCTAATATTTCCAATCAGGAGTCTACATGTATTTGGTAATCAACGCACTAAATTTACTAAGAAATTCCTCCCATGCTTAATTTTTCTTTTGCTAAAGACGGAGCCAAATAGTTTGTGATGGTCCTGGGTACCTGGCTACTGCTCAGTAGAGGTGCCGGGCATTGTTGGCTCAGGCTGCAGCTGTGAACAGGATGGAGGGGCGCTGCCTCCATGAGCATCCAGTCAAGTGGCTGGAGGAGAGGACAGAGGAGCACATGGTCCACAGGCTCTCACAGTCCTAAGTGGTTCTCCAGAAACGCACAGGGTGTCCCGAAAGCATTTCCCCTGGGGACCTAACCCAGGGGAGGGGATTACTCAGGGTGGGTCTCTCTCGAAAGTGATCTTGAAAATGAGGCCTGGAAAATGACGAGGACGGAGTCAGGTGGGTTAGGGGCTGAAGTTCCAGGCTGAAAGGGTGGAGACCAAGGCAGGAATGCGGCTTGGGGTGAGGCCTCTCGGGTCATTTTCGGGACTTTGGACTTTAACGGAAAGGTAGTGGGAACCCACTGAAGGGTGTTAAATGGGTTATGAGATGGTTGATTAGACTGGGGGTTTTTAAATGATCATCGTGCTGTGTGGAGAATGGTTTGCAGGGCTGGGCCGTGTTGGCCTCAATGGTGCCTTTGTGCAAACTAGAAAAAGGCTTCCTTCTGGGTGGACCAGTTAGAAAAGATGTACTGCTTTGTCCCAGCCAGCCCAGGCCAAAGGCCTCAGCCCCCTCAACTGTCACTTTGCACATACGTGGCCACCCTGAGGAGGGGAAGCATGGCGTGTGGGCAAATAGTGCAGAGGCTTTTGCAGTCACCCAGGGATGGTGCAGGGATGCTGAGAAGAAGTCAGTGGTAGGAGAGAGAGAGAGGTTGAGTTCGTAGTTAACAAAAGTAAGAAAGTCATGATTATTTGGATATAATTGATAGAGAGGAAGGTATCAAGGATGATTCAGAAGTTTCTGGCATAAATAAGTCAGTGGGATAGGTTGGTGACACCATTTATGATGTTAGAGTAACACTGCAGGAGGAGTAGGTTGGCATGAGGTGGGAGGGAAGATGGTTCCTTTTGAACATGTTTTGCTTATGAAACTTCCAGATGGGAGAAGAATAGGCAATTGGAACTCAGGAAAGAGATCTGGGGTGGAAATACCTGTTTGGGAGCTGTTGCATGTAAGTAATCATTGCATATAAAAAGGATCATCCAAAGAGAGGTGTAGATGAGAGGAGAAAGGGGCTGGCCCTGGAGAGCCAGATCCTTGTGTTTGGAAGATGAGGAGAAGAAGGGTCGGGCCACTGAGAAGCCAGTCTGCATGAGGGATGAGGAGGAGATGGGGGTCTGTGGCTTTCTCTTCCTGTTTTTTTTCCACTTGAGACTGGAGAGACTTGAACATGTTCTAATGCTGCTGGGAAGTTTCTGGTAGAGAGACTAAAGATGTGGGAGTGAAAAACAAATGATAGCAGCAGGTTTCAGAGAAGGCGAGAGAGGATGGATTCCAAAACACAGTAGGGGGCTTGGTCTTTGATGGGAAGATGGAGCGAGAGGATGGATAAAGAGGGCTTACATTTGGGGACCAGAAGTCTCTTGTCTGTGAAGGAGGAGGCAAAACCATTGGCTGAGTTTGATGTGTTTGTGTGTGAAGTCAGACATTCAGCCAGTATTTACTGGGCACGTTCCAGTGCCGGTCATTGTGGTAGGCTCCTTGGAAGGCATTACAGATGACGTTGATTGCCATTAGGCTTGGCCCTTGTGATGTAATAGAAATATATATTCGGTCTTTGTCCCTGCTTCTGGTTCCTGACGCAGAGCTTGTAAAACCCTTGGAATTTCCAAGAGAAAACAAAGCTATGAGTAGATTCAAAAGTGTTCATAGCTGAGATCTATAACAAGATAATTTGGAAATACCCTTAGTAGTCAACAAGGAGGTGTAAACGGTGGCAAAAACAATGAAGACTCTTTGATGTCCATTAAGTGAAGAAAGCAGAAGAGAAAATGGAATCCCAGCTGCGATTCCGCCTGAGCACAGGTGTGAGTGAGCAGAGGAAAGTCGGATTTTCAGGCCTCAGAAGGGGACATGAAAGTGAAGTGTAACGGGGCTGGGACTGTGAGTGGCTTTTTTCCGTTTGGAAATTATCTTTAATGCTTTGCAGACATATTTAACTGGAGCTTATGTTGGAGGATTGGGGCCATTGTACCTCAATTTGCAAT